GCTGCCTTTTACTTGAGAAAAGTTGATGATAAATCGAGGAATAGAAATGCATAAAATTATTTCAGGGAGAACATACAGTTCCAGTTACTGCCATTCAAAGGTAAGAATGATTTTCCTTCTCCTGTCCATTTTGGATATACAGGTTTGTGTTCTGACAGCAACAATATGTATATTTTAGTAAATATGTATATAAGGATCTTTCTACCGACTTGGTTCAAAGAATTTAAAACACATTTTGGACTTTTAACCTGACTTAGACTTTAGACTAAAGTCTTTGCTTTGAGTGACCCTAAACATTAGTACTGTAGTATGTGGATGAAAGTGGTGCAGTCAGAGGAGACATCCTTCACAAGTGGGAGAGTGCATGTGTCACATACACCAATAGGACTGTACTGGTCTGAAAGCTTGACCTCTAGTGAGGGGCTACAGTGACTGTTAGGCTGTTCACTTATCTGCAAAGTTATACTGATCACCTTTATCCTACAATGAGACCTTTTTGTCCTGACAGGGGTGGTGTCTTACAATGCCTCCCTCAAATGGGCATGAGGGGTCACTGAATGCTTTAGTGAGTATAAATATGATGTAAATCATATGCTAATTCCTTCACAATCACCTGGTCTCAACTCAACTGGGCTTGTAAAATCTTCATTAGGTGAAACATAGAAGGTCAAATGTATGTACGAGTGCAGGTATATACTCTCACAGACGTACATCTCATTGGTGATGGTCAATTCTTTCAGCACATATTCAAGGTTCATGTCTGGCCCAGTCGCTATGGCTGCTGCCATGGCTAAAGGGAGTTTCCCAACAACATGATTTTGAGACATCACCACAAATTCATGCCTGGTTTCAAAGATGGAGAAAAATTTATGCAAAACTGGCTGACGCTAGTTGCTCAAATGTTAGCAAGTCGTGAAGAATGTGTACAGTGCAGTGAAAACATTTTGACTATTTTTGCGTATTTGTCACAGTAAATGGGTTCAGAACCTTGTACAAAATGTAATATGAGACCAGGAGAATATGAGAAAAATAATTTATTGAAGGAAAAAGTTTTGAAACACCTAAATAAGTCTTGTGAATAAGTGACTGACCCTAAACTGGAACCACATTGGAGGGCTTTTGAGCATGAACTGCCCATTTAAGGTCCAGCTACAGCAAAAGTAATTGCCCCTGAACTTAACCTCAGCCAGAACAGAAGCCTTTCAAGCATGAACTGAACATTTAAGATCCAGAAACTTAAAGGACTTTGACTAGGATATTCCAAAGCCCTAATTGGCCAATGGGCACTATTGAAAATAGTATTTTTTTTTCTAGTAAAGTGGGCAATGAGTGGAATTACAAGGTAGGTGTTTCTAATAAAGTGGCCAGTGAGTGGAAGTACAAGGTAGGAGTTTCTAATAAAGTGGCCAGTGAGTAGAAGTACAAGGTAGGTGTTTCTAATAAAGTGGCCAGTGAATGGAAGTACAAGGTAGGAGTTTCTAATAAAGTGGCCAGTGAGTAGAAGTACAAGGTACGTGTTTCTAACAAAGTGGCCACTGTGTTGAACTAAAACATGGATTTTAATAGATTGGATAGTGAGTTATATCTGACTCAACTTTATAATAATGTCACAAGTTCATGTCTAGACACAAGAACAATGACTTATTCACTGAAATCTGAGCTGGAGCTGATTAATATTTGGGTTGCATTCTTGGGTCATCCATGATAATTTTCCTCCAAACTTTAAATGTCATGTCACGACCAAGGTTTGAATGTATTGGCATATGCTTGTGTGCAGATATAGTGAGACTCATTATGAGACGTAGAATGTAGAAAGTAGAATGATGTCTTTATTCTTTAAATGAAATGAAAACAACATCTACTGGGACAATAACAAGTTATGAAAAAGTCAAAGGACACTGTTAGAATTAGTATGCATGGGGAATGATGTTGAATTCTTAGCTGGTGTCTGATGAGGTCATCTTAGTCATCCTTCCATTCTGGGAATGAGACCATGCCACTCGCAGCAGGATCCCCAGTTATTTCTCTTCTGGCACAAACTTGCCCACTGCACCCTTGTTTTCTGCAAATAGAAAACTGTGTAAGCATCTTGACCTAAAAAAAGACAATTTGGTAACACTTTGTTTGGAGGGTCAAAAGTAGATTCTATGTTTACCTCATCTTTAAATAACATTCAGCTAAGTACCTGTTAATATAAACCCTTAACTTTACACCACTGTATTTGTAAATTTACCCCCAACCCAAAACACTAACCATGACCCCAACAGTAAAACCCTAACCCTATGGTTAATTTAGCAGGCAACAGATTGACAGGCATTTCATTTAAATAGGCAATTTGTAGCCAAGACTTTGCAACAAACAACGTGTTTTTGGGGGCAGCAAGTGACAAATTGAGTTGATGTTTTCTCAACTTATGACACCAGAAAGTATGCAACAACTTAAATGATTGGCTCCAATAAATTCTTTGGGCCAATCATAGCCATTGGGGTCTAAGGTCCTCAACATCTACTCTCTCCACTTTTTCTTCCTTCCAGCACTGCATTCCCAATAGTGAACTATTGCAACTGTTTTTTATTGTCAGAACACAAACAACGTATTCACCAACCCACAATGAGTGGCCTTGAACACACCCACAAGAAGCAAACGTGAGGCAACATTACCAACTTGTTCCTAATTTAAACATATGGTAACCATGTTACGAGTCAATTGAATATCTCTTCAGATTGTTAATGATTTATTAATAATAATATTTACCTTGTCAAGAGGTTGTGAGCTCCCCAGCAATGCCACAGCCATATCTGTCCTTAGTGTGAATGAGCCTGTGCCTTGAAACAATCTGCATGCACACATCCTAATCAATGATCTCACTTGAACAACAACAATGAATGAACAAACTAGCAGCAGCCTTTATTACTTACTTTATTACCTTTATTATTGTCATAATTAGGTAAGAAGCTGAAAAAAGGCCACGTTTTAATGTTTGTGCAAGTTAGCAGCTGCTACTATGCGGCCAAAACTGGATGATGAGAGTAAAAATACACACAAATTCTGATCCGACTCTTCTCATTAAGTCATGAATTTGATCTGATCTAGAACAACATATGAAAGTGCCTTAAATCTGATTTGTAGAGATCAAACAAAAGACAAGTGCCAGTATTTATAAACATGGTAACGTTATTGTGGACACTTGAAATTACTATCAGTGATGACTGGTCCTATGATTAGAAGCAAGGGCTAACAAAATGACACCTATCAAAAGCTCTCACACTGTAGCATCACATTTTAGAGCAACTTCCAAGCTAGACCAATGAAACAGTGGATTGATCTAGCCACTGCATGCACTAAAATGTTTAAATGTCGATGCTTTCTAAGCCACTTATCTTTATGGGTTGCAGGGACCTGTGAAACAGCCAAACATAAAAGCTTTAAATGGGTCTGCAGTTATGAGCTTCATATTTCAGTGTTACAATCTCCAAATGTTCATGTACTGTTAGTATACTACCAGAGTTAATGTTCACAAAATGTTGCAAATCCCACAAAGGTGCTGTCACTGGACAGGGGGTGGTGGACCCAAGCGCAGAACTCTTGGGTGTTTATTGAAAAATTAATTTGTTATTGTTGTGTGTGTGGAATATTAACTGTTACGAGATGGTACAGCGGAATAGATATGCTTGGTGTTACTTTGCGACGAGGGGTTCAAACCAGCGACCTACTGCGTACTGAGTGGAGCGCTACCACTGCACCACAGGGGCTGCAGGAAATGAGGTGGAAAAACTGCTATGCTAAGCAGTGGGAAAAGAAATGGCAGGAATGGCAAACAAAAGGGATGCTTATGACCAGTGTTCTCACACATTCTCAGCGTTCTTTTCTTTTCTTTTCTCTTCTTTTCTTTTCTGTTGCCTGCTTCAGTGCTCCTTCTTTTCTGTCTTTCTTTCTTTCTTTTTCTTTCTTTCTTTCTTTCTTTACACCTACCTGGGCTGAAGTACCGTACCGCTCACCCCTCTACAAAAGTGTAATGCTGAGCTACCATATGTGCAAGCTTTTATGCAGCGTTCCCCAGGTGCAACCGGTCAGCACTGATTATCGCTAGGGCTTTTGGGAGTTGGAGTTCTGCACCTGGCAGCACTCCTGGCACGATGCCCGGGCCCCCTAGTGGTAGCTGGCGTCGTAGCCTGAGCCCTTACAGGTGCTAAATGAAATTAACATAATTGCAGTTAAGAAGCATTTTACAACGGCTTCACGCATGTCTCAGCCAATCAGATTTTAGGACTGGACCTGGAGCTTGGTGATGCTATCGTTCATGGTTCCATAGAAGTCACAATTAATCAGCTTCTGGTAATTTGTTGAGAGCAAGTAATCCAATGTGTATGCCAAAAATGAAACCTTGTTTTTTTTATCTTATTTCTTTGAAAGAGGTGGAGGGCCCCTTTAGCCACTACATAAAAACTTGGACCTTCATAGCTTGGACATTCATAGACAGGATCTCTTGGCACATATGTTTGAACTCACAAATTCTGTATAATGAGATTCTCAGCTCCAGTGCTAACTGCAAATAGGCCTCTGTAACTATACACACAATGAGCATCAATATATGATATTTTATTTTGTTGTTTTAAATATGTGGTGCATGTGTAACCACCTTCCCAACTGCTATTTAAAATACGACTTTAAGAATCAAGTTTGTTTAGCTGTAAACCTGCCAGCATGGGCGTCTATTAGCTGATGTTCTAGTGTTCTCCTCCAAGCGTGTTGAGCTGTCCAGTGACACTGCATTATTGGCAGTTTGAGAAGATGCAGTGGCACTTCACATGTCTCCAAGGAAGCATGTGCTAGCCTTCACCCTCCCAGCTAGAAAGCATCATGTGATGAGGAGAACTAGCTTACATGGACAAGACTGAACTAAAAAGGTATAAATAAATAAATTCATAAACACCCAAATAAATGGTGAGATTTCCTTCCTGAGGTGACCTGAGCAACTGGACATTAAGTTAAACAATAATTTTATTTATTCTTCGCTTTCAACAAACAAAAGACACAGCAGTGACGAGCAGCAAAAAGACCAGTTAAAAGAAAAAGGTCAACAAACAAATGGAAAGGATGTAAACATTGTCACTCCAATACATTATCAAAAACAAAGTATTTGTTTGGGCTCTTGGACGGAAGCTTTGTAGCGATGAAGCTGGACAACATTACACTCCTTTTAATGGGAGTACAACCCTGGAATCAACACTCAGAGTCTAAACTTTGCTGTAGAACTCAGCCTCTGATCCTGGTTAGCTCAAAATCAAAAATTCACAATTCATTTAATGAGTAAAAGTAAATACAGCACATGCAGGTAATTAAAACATAAATAGATAAATATTGTCAACCAATTGTGTCTTGACAATCCATAAATTAGTGGATAATAGCATTTCTTTTGCCACAATATACACATACACTCTCACAGAGAGTAAATTCATTTACAGAGACAAAAGCATTGACTGTCACAATACCATACAAAATTCTCCATTGGAGATCACCAGATGATTTGTTTTCTTATATAGATTACACATTGGCCCAAAACCCAGTCTCTCCACTTGTAATTCAACACTGTCACAAATTCTTGGTGTGACCCACCCTTAATATAAATTTGAACTGGATAACCTTTGAATTTAGTTTACCCTTATTTATCAAACATTATTCACATTAAAGTCATGACCCATCAAGTGCAATCTCTGGCTTACATGAAAATTCAACTGTGGACAAGAGGATCTCTGTGGATTCAAACTATATATGTGGTAACTGTGTCAGGTAAGTATATAAAAGTTAATCAAAAATGTACTAAATTTCATATCGCAGAAGTCATTACATGTACTATAATAGCAGTGGCCTGTTCTGAATCAAGTGCTGGCCAACAGATTCATAGAAACAAAAGGAAAACTAGGACAAGCAAAGATGTCTTTGAAAAATGCAAGATCTGATGTACCTTAACATCAGTTGTCCAGTGTTCTTAGCAACAGGATGCAGTTTCAGTACATCCCATTTAGCAGATTCATATTTTCAGTTCTGTGAGTTGTGCTATATCAAGTTCACAAACGAAGAAAATATGAATTCAGTTGAGTCAGTTGATGAACACCGGGAGTTTGGCATTCTGGAAAATGACAGGGTGATTAACAGTATCCTTGGAATGGAGTGTTGAGGCACTTGGTTGGATTGGTACTCCCTCTGTCAGGAACATTTGCTGAAAACAATGAAAGTTAGGGTGTTTACAAGGTTGGGTTATTCCATTTACAAGAATGGGTGAGAGAAAAAGGATGGACCATGAAGGTGCTGGTCGAGGAATCAGGCTTTGAAAAACATGTTGACCTGGATGTTACACTACAGTGTTTCTTTGCCGGTATGGCGGTGGTGGCAGAACTTGCCCTGGCTTCAAGGATTCAGTCTCCGATAAGTACTCTGGGTTCTCGACAATAGTAGACCGGACGCGGCCATTTTGCTTGAAGAGGTTCTGCTTGTACAGGCTTGTGTTGAAGCTTTGAGAGGAGTCTTGATGGTTGTCTTGGGACGCTTTGAGAGGAAGACTGTGTTGCCAGTACTCAGGGTTGTCAAAGGTCTTCCAGTACTTCTTGCTCACCATTATGGTTCCAGTAGGACCTGATTGTGATATGCTGCCTGAGTGGATGGGATGACCTGGGAGACTACTTTTACTGGTGATTACAGACTTTGCCATATGAACCTGCTGATCTGCAAGACCAGACTGGGCTTGTTGATTAACGTGGAATATCTGACTTGATGGAGAATGGTGTCCAGACTTGCTGGGGTGATTAGTATGAATAGCTTGGTGGCCATTCTGACTCATAGGTCCACTTTGAGGTGGCTGAACAGGTGGAATTGCAAAATGAACATGTGCTCCTTGGCTGTGGTGATGGGGTCTCCCTGTTTGGGTGGTCAGGGGGACATGGCTGCTAGTGGTGCTGGTTGCTGTTGTTATCTGGAGTGGGGCAGAAACTCCATTTTTCTTGATTTGATTCATATTGCCTTTGCTGTGAAATGTGTTGAGGTAAAGCGGCTCATTAACGTACTGATCATCAACCTTGGGATGTCCATCGGGGGTACTGTGGTAACCTGGGTTGTCCAGTGCATGAATCTCTCCATTTGTCCTTCGTGTGACAAAAGGATTCTCTTCAACAGGATTCAGATGATCTACAGAGTTTATGGAAAAAAGCACAATCACGCTACACGTTCAACATCTAGTATCATCATCATAAATAATGACATAATGTGATCATCTACTAGATTATTGACGTACCCTTGATAGTACAGTCATGTTTCATGTTTTATCTATATATCAGTGTGATTTAAACTTTAGCTACAAGACCATAATGTATAATGTATTTATTAATTTTATTCTCTGTTAATGGTACACCTGAGCCCTGCTTTCTTTTTTGCAGCAAGTCCCAGAGTATTCTGGGAATAACCACACTGTAATGTTCAATGTTCCAGGTAATGCTAGCTTTTAGTTTTTAGGCTTGAATGACTCTTTAAAGTTAACTTAATTTTGAACAAAACAATAAAAATGATGTGCTGATTCAGTTTTATCAGTTAAAGTATTTGCCTTTTACTTTTATACATTTGAATATGTTTAAAGGTAGATACTTTCTGATTTCTGTGCAAGTATATACTTTTGATATTTACAGTTTCTCTGTAGTTTTTACCCCCCTGTAAGTAATCTCCAATATGGCTGCTTCTGTAATTTCTGACACTGTATATCCTACTATTACCTATAAAGATGTCAACTGAGATATGCAATTTGCAAGATGCTAACATGGCAACTATAAGCTTCTGTTACTTGCTAACTACATCTGCCATACAGCTCCAGTGCAGAACTAAAAAAGCAAACTAGACACCAAACATGTCTTGGCTGAGTCCATTTGGGGTTAGATTCAATTGTATATAATGCATTTCTGGGCAAGTCATTGCTTTAAGGGGAAACTGAGGTAAGAACAGTGTGATCTCACAACTCAAGGATTTCTTTTAGAAGTGCCACAGATAAAGAAATCAGCAAGAACATTGTCTAGTTACCTGAGGAAATCTTGTCCTTCCGGGGGGCCACATAGCTATCCTCATCAGTGCCCCTGCTCTGTGCTATCTGCCCCAGGAAGACAGTAGGGTCAGCGCTGTAGCGCTGGCTGCTGCTATCTTCCGCAAAGCCAGAACCGGGCTGTTTCCTTAGGCTTCCATTACAGTGTTTTTCCTCTTGGGGGGCCAGAGACACCCGCTGGGTCCCTGCTGGGATGGACGGGCAGCCGGTGGAGGTGGATGACACTCGGGATCGGATCACTGCCACTTCATGTGGGCTAAAAACTCCATCATGATGCCGGCACTGACTCTGTTAGAAAAAAAGAAAAGTTTATTTCTTTTCTTATTTACATTACAAATGTAACTTTTGTACAGGCCACATTACAGATACGATTCTTAAAGTAGCTTGTTCTTCTTGATAAATTCCCATAACAATGTCAATGCAAGGAAAACTGCTGCACAGCCACTGAGGTAAGTGTAAACTAATAAGTACCTGCAAGTAAGCAGATATAATGCGAACAGCACAGTAAAAGTTATGACGTGTGATGGTTGTATAGACTATCCTGAACGTGATGCTAAGTAATAGCCTACTAAGGTTCCAGAATGGAACGTACTAGATAAATAACATACTGTAATTTTCGACATTAATTTAAAAAGTAACTTCATTTTTTACAGTTTTCTAGCCTCACATTAATTGATGTACATATATAAATAAAACACCTTAAAATCTTTTGGTGCATAGCTTATAATATTTAACTCCACACTGTAAAAGTTATTATCATGTAAAAATAACAAAAAATCTTAACGTGGCAAGTGATTCCAAACTTTTTAATGCTAGTGTAGCATTAAAAAAACTGCTTCTTATAATATTTGCACCTCAACAGAGCGAACACCAATAACAAAGATTAGCGTATAGGTATAGAACTTTACCAACTGCCCCTTACCCCATTCATCATTGGTCAGTTTCTGACCACAGGACCACTGTTGACCAGGTACTATTTGTATGGTGGATGGTTCTGACATGCTACTGTGTGTGGTGAAGGTACAATGGTGTAGGCAGAGTGTTTTTTTTTTATGTGAAGGTCACTGTTTGGTTCTGATTGATCAAGCACCCAAAAATGTGTGGTCAACATTGGTCTTATATTTAGAAACTGACCACTGATGAAGAGTTAGAGTGTGATTAGTCTTGCAAGCCAGACATCTGCATGTTATTAGAGAGTCTGGAGCATTTTGTCACTTAACATGTCCAAGAACCGCCTACTTTGACAGGAAGGGGCTGTGCAATATGCAATAACCAACCACAGACCACTCTGACCTACAGGGGAAGTAGATTTTTAGAACGGGACTGCAACCAAAATAAATCTGCAGGACACAAATGTGTCATCAAACACACAAGGGCATCTCGATTACAGCATAATTAAATGCTGCAATGAAAACGTTTGATTAACTTTTAAAGATGCAAACTTCTTTTCAATCTGGCCACTATTTCAGATAGACAGTCCGAATGAAACAGATAGTTCTGTCCAGCTTAACGATATCAGATGCTCCGTTTTCATTTACGTGTGGGCGAAGCTTCTGAGGCTGAGAATAGAGAATAGAGAACAGGGATGACTAAGACAAACTGTGCATCAACAGACGGACTACAGTCTCCAACTGTGCACAGGCAAGGTGGAGCTACGTCTTCTAGCTGCTGAACACGTTTGACAGCTACATAATGAAAGTACAAGGCTTCGTACAGGTTTGGAGTCCGGTTGTGCTCTGGACGGGTAGGCGTGAGGTACCAGGTACTCCTCAGCGTCCATCAAGTCTCTCAGGTCATCCTCATCCAGAAGACTCTGGAAGAATTTACTGTGGTTTGGACTGGGCAGCTTCATGCAGTCGTCCCCCTAGGACAAACACAGCCCAATTACTCTATGCCACCGCAAAGAGCTAAGAGGACACAACGGTTCATTTTTTATGCAGGGACATAACAATAAAGGCATTCATCATGTCTGTGTTTATCTCCCACCTGGATGACGAGGTACCTCTGAGGGTCTCTGGCCATCCTGCTGAATTCTGCAGCGAGCTCTTTAAACCTGGGTCTACTGTCAGCATCGATCATCCAACCTTTAAATGAGTGACATGACATTTCTCATCACAGAGATTTCATCATGACAACATTTGAAAGGCTGCTTGGTTTATTTTTCCACCTATTCTTGATCTGCTGTATCTGTATTTTATTGTTGATTTCCATGGACAATATAATGTTTCCTGTACTTAAAAAAGAACAGAAAATTGAAGTTACAATAGATGTAAATGCGCATCTGTTGCTGAATTCCAGGAAAAATGTTGACTAACATTGATTTAAAACCAGAAGTCAAAAGTTTATCAACAAACTTTAAGTTGGTTCGACAAAGCCGTTACTGTGGTATCCCAGGTGGTTGCTAAGGTGCTACCTGGCCATTGCTATGGTATACCTGGTGGTTACTGAGGTGTTGCTAGCCAATTGCTATGGTATCCCAGGTAGTTGCTAATGTGTGTATATAAGTGTGCTAGTATGTATACTCTTAAAAGCATGATGCTTCAAGGGTTATTCATTAAAGAAAATGGTTCTATATAGAATGGTTCTATATAAAGGTTTTTTGAATCATGAAAGGGTCCTTCAGGTTGATGGAGAATATGCATGAATGTGCTATAGACGGTTCTATATAGAAAATTTTTGAAAAAGGATCTATCCAGCACCCAAAAGGGTTCTTCTATTGTTACAAGCTTGGCATTCTTTGAGTGTTCATGGTTCCATATAGAACCATTTTCTTTACTATTCTTTACATTAGCTTTACTTTTTCTAAACTCTTGAAGCACTGTCTTTTTTAAGAGTGTATGTGAGTCTGTATGTAATGTCTATTAGGGTCAGTGTGAGAGTCCTTTGTGGCATAATTTGTGGCAGTTTTATGGTTCTAGCTCAACAAAATGTGGCCCGTGATAATGGTTTAAAAATAAAGAATAATAATAAGAAGATAACAAAGAACAGCAACTAACACCAACTGAACTACTAACTGAACTCTTATGATAAGTCAGGTATAAGAGAAGCTCTTACCAAAGTTGTTCTTATGAAGTTCTAACCAACTTTTGAGCGTGTCAGCAACATGGCAAAAAAGTATTTCTAGTAGGGTTTTCTAGTCTCCATAGTGTTCAGGCAGAATCTGTTAAAACTAGGGCCTGAAACTTTTGTAGCCATTATCAAGACTAATTTTAAGTGGCTAAAAATTCTGAAAAATAATATTGGCCAGTATAATTTTGTTATATCAGCATTATACTACAATAGTTTTAGCTTTAGATATGACTTTATTGCTGTGTTCACATGTTTGCATTGAAAAAAAAGTCATTCTGAATCACATAGGGGCACATGGCCATGCAAATGTTACCATGGTGACCGCAGTGCCAGCAAAAATGGATGATTATCTGAGGAGAGCTTTAGTAACATAGATTGTTTATTTAAGGTGAAAAAGTCAATACTGAGTTTGTCTGGAATTCAACAATGAGATGTTTGGCTCTCATCTGGTTTATTTGAGCACTGCTGTCGATGGCTGAAGTTGGGAAAATTTAACTCTGAATTTTCCATTGCGGCTCTATGGAAAACAACGAAATATCCGGTTTGCGGTTGTCTGTCTACTGTGTGTGAACACAGCATAAGACATGCTTTATTTTGTATATTACACTAAATCCTTTAACTTGAACCTTCACTTATAACATTGGAGGAGGCTTTTGTATGAAATATGCCTCACTTCAAATCGAGCTGACAAAATCAACTTATGAGCTCTTATAATGGGGTTGAAATATCATATGAATATCAATAGCAATATGTATCCATAATGGCAAGTATATACATTCTGTGTGTTTTTATGATTAGGCAGGTTTGTAGGTCATAACGCACTCTGCAGGCTGGGAGTTTCTTTGACACAATATAATGTGTTATGAACACTACTTACAATGTGTTAACAATCAAAAATGTATAATAAACATGGCTATAAAATGTAATTCATTTTTATGAATATTTATAGCAATATTTATAATGCCTTATGAATGCATTACAATGTTAGGAATGTGTTCATAGATTCTTATAGACATGGTATTCATAGAAACTCTTACCAAGTTTTCCCAAGTTTTTTGTTTGTTTTAACATTTTATTCTCAAATTATATGTTTGAATACAGTTTGCATAACATGATGGTGTTTTGTATTCAGATTCTCCAGTTATGCCCATGTTATTACCATGTAGTTAAATAAAGAGTGGCTCATACTAAGCTGCCACTGAGCTGCCGGGTCATTGGTACATTTTAAGTGCAAATGCTGGGGTTGCCAAAAGCAGGTGAATAGTTGGTTATTGTTGCTGCATGTCAGTAATATTTTTGTCAGTTCACATTTTTCAAAACATTTGAGCAAATTGAACCAATGGAGGGAGATCGTATGTTCGAATCCCACTGTAGCCGCAACCAAATAAAAAGCTGGTGAAGATTGGTGCATTATCACTGATATTTTTTGACACTGAAAATAAAGTTAGTCTCCAATACAGGCTGATATTAACTGCTCTGATAGCTGCAGTCGCATCATGTAGTCGCAGATCAAAATTGGTTCCATGCCAGTGCAGAGAACAATAAAGTCTCATTTGTCTCTGAATCAGCTTTAGCTGCTTAGCTGACCTCCAGGGTCAGAATGTGACCCAAATTACTGAATTAGTGACAGCGCTGCTGTACAAACCATTCAGTCCCTGGCACGCATTAGCTTGCTCCCACCTCGCAGTAGCATGATCTTCATTTCCCCACAATTAATTTCCTCTCAAAGCTCACACTCCAACCCTTTATCTAAATGAGCAGCAATTACTCAAGCACTTAGACTAGCAGGAATGCGTATTTAACAACTCCAGTTCCACCATGCCAGTGGGGTGTCGGCTTAAAACAGAAACAAAATCAATACACTTTGCAGTCAAACATGTAAGTACTACTAAATAGTATGATATTCATCTTTTTTACATGCTTCAGTAGGATGTTTCCACAATAGCATAAAGAAAATAAAGACTTTTAAGCTTATGGTTAATCTTCATATATATGTAAATTGTGTAAACTGTTGATTTTTTCACAATATTAGCACAATTTTCAACACACAAAGTAAAAACTTAATTGTTTTGTCCCACTTTATATTAAGTGCCTCTAATAACTGTGTAGTTACACATAAATAACATTTGCAACAACACTGTAACTACTGATGAGTTAGTCAGAGGTCGAAAGACTCACATTTGACCATAACCATATAGACATCTATGGTGCATGTCGGGGGTTGAGGCAGACGTTCTCCTTTCTCCAGCATGTCTGGAATCTCACAGGTGAGAATTCCTTCATATGGCTTTCCTCCAAATGTCATCAACTCCCAGATGGTAACTCCTGAAAGAAGAAAATTATGACAAGCTATACATAACCTGCATTTTACAAACATGATATTTATATTTTGAATATTTTTTTCATATATTGATATTTATATATTCATATATTGAGAAGTATTAATTAATGAAATGGCAATTTAATAGAATACATTTACTTATTTTACATTATTTGTTGTTGTCTTTTTAAATAGACATATATAAAGTCACCAAAAGCCTGAACAGTTATTTTGTATGCAATACAAATAGATCACCATTTTGCTCACTTATTTGGTCAATAACAAAGTTACTTGGTAATTATATTCCTACTAAGATTTAGGTTTGATTTCAGTGATTAAGCCAATAAATTAGCTCTATTTTGTGCTATCTGTTCATTAGTGAGGCTAACAACAGCACCTTTGAGAATATATAATACATTTTAATAGCAAAACAACAGCAAATGCTCACCATAACTCCAGACATCACTCTGGTGTGTAAACTTTCTGTAGTGAATGCACTCCAATGCCATCCATTTGATGGGCATCTGCACAAGGGATGGAGAGCTTATGAATGCATTATCATTCGGGTAGTGACATATTACATAACAGTTAGTCCTATACGAGTTGCTGTAGCTGTATCAATCCACTGACCACCATTTGTTATCCTCTACACTGCAACCATTTGAGGAGGAACTACTTTTTTGGCGGAAGAATGTTAATATAAGCAGCAGAAAATCCTCAGGGCTTTCTGGTCCTTCAGAGAATGATTTCAGGGAACTGATAATATGCCATTATTGTTGTATTTAAACAGTGCAAGTGTTGTAATAATACTCTTATTCCACTGTTTGGTTGGATACAAAATCATTAAAACACCCAACAAAATATTGTCCAATCAGATTTTTTTTTCCCTTTGGTATCCAAGTGGATAATGCTAAGCGAGCTCTCCCATTGGTTAAGACTCCAGGAGCTGAACTGAAGGCCTTACATGACAGAATGATTATCGGTATAATTAGGAAGTGACAGAGCAACTTTAACATTAACAAGGTTTCCGTTAGGTTAGAAATGGCAAACAGCAGCAGCAGCGGCTCTATGCTAGAGCTCTTTACTGAAAATGTCACCATAAAACTGCTACATGGAAGATAAAATCCATGCAAATGCCTGTGAGGAGCTTCAAACACAACATGGGATGTCTTTTACAGGCCTGCTAGCAGAAATTAGCATTACTTCCTTGTTCTTGTTCTTGACATTTATGGCCCAAACTGAAGGCCTAGCTCTAATAATTCCAGTTCGCTTGGCAACTATGGGTTTGTGCTGGGGTGAGGTAGCCATATGTCCTGTCCCAGAGCCTGACCTTGCCTCCATCTGCATTGTATTCCTTTTCATTTGTGTCCAGCAGGCGTGCCAGGCCAAAGTCAGTGATCTTGATGTGGTTGGGAGATTTCACTAGAACATTGCGGGCAGCCAAGTCCCGATGGACCAGTCTCTTCTCCTCCAAGTACATCATCCCCTGGAAAAAAAAAAAAACAAGCCCTTATTCATTTTTAATAACCATCAGAATAAACAGCATCATTTTGAAGACTAGCATCTACTTCTGAAATAAGTAAGGATATTTTCTAACAGGAGTAAGGCCAGCAAATTGCATCAAACTAAAAACCTAAATGCGACCAAATACCTCTTCTTTCATATCTCCGTGTATGCTTTTAGAGAAAGAGGTACTGTACAGGTACATTTTAGTCCCCCAAAGTGCAAACTGTGCAAATGTACCTTCAAAGATACCCTCAAAACTATCCTTAAGGCCCAATTATGCACATTTAATGAGTTTTAAACATAACTAACATTCACTTTATCACAAATAGAAAAACAAAATAAAAGGTCTAGAGACAATACAGGCTGCATGGAGTCAATAAAACCTAAAACAACTCCAACAAAATCTGGTACAATTATGTTCCCTAACTAAAAGCACTGTAGCCTTGACGTCAGTGAGATGATGGTACCACACCAATGATTTTCTGAGAGTGTACCACTATCCCCCTCACTCTATTCCCTCATTCATGAGAATCAACTTAAACTTACAGAGGCAGAAGCAGTAAAATAGAAAAAACTATCATTCATTATAGCATCCCCCACTTACAACATTTCTCTGACCTGTCCAGACAATGATGCTAGCTCGTGAGTGCCTCAGGGTTATGTCCTGGGCCCTGTCACAAAGAGACAGTTTTGTGTCTGTTTAAGTGTGTTTAGATGACACCTATTCAGCATGTGGATGTGTTTGTGATGACACGGTTATGCCCACCTGTCTGCCTTGTGAATTTCAATCCATTTCTTTCCCCTCATGTTTGAGGCAGATCAGTGAAAGGTTGTTACTTTGCAGTCAATTATAATGTGACTAGCTCATTGCGTTTTGTAAAAGAGGCCAGCACTGATCGTGTGAATGCTGAGGTTAAAGTTAGGTTTAGGTTAGGTGGGTTATAATGGGTTATCAAGAAACATGAATAGTACTATACTTTACACATCACCCTATAGTGTGTTTTCCATTCTGAACATCGCTGATGTCGGAAGAAAACCTTGTATCTCCAAAATGATAACTTTACAGGCAAAGGAAAAAAACGACTTTACTTTTAATGTAAGTCAATGGAACCAGACTTTTTTTGAAGTCATTTTGGGCCATTTCTTTTGGTCCATTTTTCATGAAATTTACAATGTAAAATGCAACAGGCTTTTTCAAATTATGCCATAAACTGAAAAACGGCAAAAATAGCAATACGAGGTTTTCTTCCGACAGCAGCGATCTGTTGTGTTCTAGCTCAGAGACTATCACCGTGCATCCAAAAAATAAAGGCAGCATGGTGCTTCTTTTATATAGTGATAAAAAACACAGTAGCACATAGAAACAGCCAATTCCACATGCTTATCCATTTTGCTATGACAAACTTGGATATGCATGAACCCTAACTAAGTCAAAGTGGACAAAGAATAAGGGTCTGAATGGTAAGTATGATAGGGTTCATCAGCCATACAGAAGATCATAGAAGTCGAATTCAGAACCGTTGGCCACACAGAGGAACCAGACCTCCGCATTTAACCCATCCATGAAGTGAATACATGCACACTAGTGAACACAAACACTAGGGGGCAGTGAGCACACCTGCCCAGAGCAGTGGGCAGCCCTATCCACAGCACCCGGGGAGCAGTTGGGGGTTAGGTGCCTTGCTCAAGGGCACCTCAGTCATGTTCTGTCGGCTCAGGGGATCAAACCGGCGACCTTCCAGTCACAAGGCCGGTTCCCTAACCTGACTACCCTACAAAGACAGTAATACATGTGTTTGCATGTTTTGGAATATGCAAAAATATGACACCAGAATTGCAAGTCAAACAAAGAAGTTGCTGATGCTGTCCGAACAATGGACTGACCACCCCAGAGTCCAGACGTCAACATCACTGAATGTGTTTGGATTATGTCAGAAAATGATAAACCAACTACTAAGACTAAACATTGGACGTGTGGAAAAATATCCCTGCAGATTTCTTTGAAATCCTGAAAGCAAGTCACCAGAAAATAACAGTAGCTCTAATGAATGTAGTTGAGGCTTCTGAAAAATGAATAACTTGTACTTAATGGTCACTTTGACTGAATTAAATGAAGGGTGGTCTCTGACTTTATCCATCCATGGGAAATAGAAAAAAGTATTACATAAATGTGCACATGTACTTTGCCAATTTATCTCTGTATGCTTGTAACCTTCATACAGGTTTATCTTTATACACCATCAACCAGGAAAATGCAGAGTAATCTGTATGTGTGTCCCATGCAAGTGGAGAAGCCTGTTTAGATCTGTGTTGGTGTCATCATGCTGCTCCAGAAGTCTATTATCATAATCATCGTCATCACTACCATCATAATCATCAGTGAGGGTGAAAAAGGGTGGAGTGCGGAGTAAATGAACACAGAAACTTTTATCATTAGGGTGGTGCTACTGTGCAATTTTCAAGGCAATTAAGCACTAAAGAAATTGATGTCTTGGCTAGGGCGTTCATTATGTATGCTGACGAACAAAGACCTAAACGGTGGGCCGGAGAGAAGCGAGAATGAATGGGCGCCGTTCAAAAAACCTCATTTTCATTTGGAGCTCAGTGATCTATATCTTGTGCAAAGAGGGAAAGAGAAAAAAGGATAAAATAGAGGAAGAAGGTAGAAAGTTTCCTCTGAATGTTAAGTACTGACTTAAATGAATTAGTTCAGTCCAGGTTTGTTGTAGGTTTTAATTTTTTATTAGTTTTCATGTTTCTTTCTTTTTTTTTCAGTTTTTGTTTTAGTTGGTCTTAAGCCTGAATTAATAGTTTTATTTTTATTTTTATTTTCTGAAGAGCAAAAGTTTTAGCTTTTTGAATTATGAAGAAAGCTGTTGTAGTAGATATTGAACAAGGGCAGGATAAACAGTTCAAAATTCATGATTTCAATATAAACTCAAAACTGTTAGTGTGATGTAAGGTGGGCTTTGACTTAATAAGGCGTGGAAATGACATAAGTTGTCTCAAAGAATTGTTCAGGCATGGGAATGAGATAATTAAGTTGCAACAATCAAGTCATGACCACAACGTATTAAGACACAAACACAAAATAATTAAGTTGTGGCCTCAAGTTAGTAAAGCATTGGAATGAGATAATTAGGTTGTGGCTATGACTTGGTCAGACATGAGTACAAGTTAATTAAGTTATGGCCATGACTTAGTAAGGCATGAGAACAAGATAAATACGTTGTGGCCACAACTTGATAAAGCGCAGGAACAAGGCATATGCATAAGAATGAGATAAATAAATTGTGGCCATGACTTAGTAAGTCATGGAAATGAGATAATAAATTTGTGGTAATGACTTAGTAAGGCATGGAAATGAGATAATAAAGTTGTGGTAACGATTTATTAAGGTATGGACATTAGATTCTAAAGTTGTGGCTATGACTTAGTAAGGCATGAGAACAAGATAAATAAGTTGTGGCCACAACTTTATAAAGTACATGAACAAGGCATAGGCATAGGAATGAGATAAATAAATTGTGGCCACGACTTAGCAAGGCATGCAAAAAGAGGTGATTGAGTTGTGGAAACAACTTAGCAAGGCATGAAAATGAGATAATTAAGTTGTGGCAATGACTTAGTAAGGCATGGAAATGAGATAAGTTGTGACTAAAACTTAGTAAGGTATGAGAATGAGATAATTAAGTTGTGGCAGCGACTTAGCAAGGCATGCAAAAAGAGATAATTAAGTTGTGGCAACAACTTAGCAAGGCATGAAAATGAGATAATTAATTTGTGCCAATGACTTAATAAGGCATGGCAATGAGATAATTAAGTTGTGGCCAAAACTTAGTAAGGCATGAAAATGAGATAATTAAGTTGTAGCCAAGACTTAGTAAGCCATAGGAAAAAGATAACTGTGTCCATGACTTAGTAAGGCATGGAAATGACATAATGAAGTTGTGACCACAACTTACTAAGGCATGGGAATGAGATGATTAAATTGTGGCCATGACTTAGTAAGGCATAGGAATGAGATAATTAACATGTGACCATGGCTTTCGTAGTACGTATATAATTGTGTTGATGATTTAGTAAGGCTTCGGAAAAAGATAATTAAGTTGTAGCCATGACTTAGTAAGGCATAGGAATGCAATGATTAAGGTGTGGCCACAACTTCATAAAGTGTGGGAGCGATGCAGTTAAGTTGTGGCTACGACTTAGTAAGGCATGGGGATGAGATAATTAAGTTGTGGCCTTGACTTCATGTGGTGTAGGAACAATATAATATAATTGTAGCCATGACAAAGTAAGGCATGGAAACACAACATAAGCATAGAAGGATATACAAAAATGTATAAAGGTTAATGAATGAAAACCGCATATGCTGATCTAAAGAAAATTGGTAACACTTTCTATGAATGTCACGTTTGTAAGCATCTATAAACACATTTATAACATGTTATAATGTATTCATACGGCATTATAAACATGGTTATAAATATTTATAAAAAATTACACTGAATTACACCTTATAGCCATGTTTATTATACATTATGAATTGTTAATATAATGCATTATAAATAGTGTTAATAACATGTTATAATGTAAGTGCCAAAGAAGTCAGTCCCAGCTTGGAGAGCGTAAAGACAAATACCAAGCTAACGGTGGTGTACATTACCTTAACATAACACTGATGGCAGCACTAGTTTAAACTCTGACATTTGAAGCCTGTAATGTGCTTTATTGTGAATGTTTTAGTGTTTCAGTAAATTCTTCAGTAAATACTTCAGCTTGAAGTCTCACTCTTAACACTGGAGGAGGCTTTAGTACAGTACGCTTCACTTTACTTAGAGCGGACAAATACAACTTATGAGCTCTTATAATTTGTTATGATTATAATGTATTATGTTAACAATCCATAATGCATAATAAACATGGCTATAATGTATAATGCATTTTTATAAATATTTATAGCTATGTTTATAATGT